CACCAGGGGGAGAGAAGGAGCCATTCAGTCCACATAGGATCCAAATCAGTGGTGGTTTTGCTGAAGACAGCCTGCCAAAAGTTGTAAAACCATGTATTATGTCCTATGGTCAAAACAATGGCTTGACCATATTTTTCACTTATCAACTCACTGTTTAGTTCATGATTGTCCAAACTGCCTTTTAAGATTATTTTTTAAAGCATTGCCCAAACTGTTTTTATGCGCCCATGCACATTGCCCAAACTGCCTTTTAAGATTATTTTTATCGTAAGGACTGAGTCTAGGTCAGCATGGGATAAGACCACCTCAGATTTTAGTGTGGCTCAGCATATCACTATTAGCAGCAGCAAAAGCTACAAGGGGAAAAAAATGCTTCAGGAGGTCTGATTCCAAGATTCCCATATACTTGGGTGTTTCCCAGAGATGGTAAACTCAGAAATTACTGTGCACTCATCATTTTTTATTGCAAAATTCATTAAGCTGCCATGCTTTTATCATCCTATCTTGTCAAGATGATACATTACAGACTTCATTGCAAAACTTTAACAAGCAGGAGAAAGTACACCTCAGCACAGCACAGGAAAGCCTCTGGGTATTTTGCTTCTGCCTTAATATTTTTTGCTTAAAGCCCTGTGTCTTTGCAAAACTTCCGTCTGTCTGGTAACTCCCTTCTCTCCCTGTTTGATCTTGTGGAAAGAGTTCCCTCCTTCAGGCTCTGTGAGGCATCACGAGCTGCTGTTAAAGAACAGTCATTATCCCCCCGTAGTCTTCTTGACAGCTAGTCTCAAACATCATGGAAAGATGAGATGTTAGCCTATGTTCTGACAGAATTCCGTGCATAGTGGGAAACCTCCCCCAAAGTGATGGTGAATGTCTGTGTTTCCTATTTACCCTCCAGCTTTGCGTATTCAGTGGGCCAGACGTGTTCAGGCGTGCCGAGACATGTGAATTCAGCTTGGCTCTGTGTCTGCTTTCCTGGCCTCGCTTCTGGCTTCTGTGATAAACAGAGACCCTGCCTCTTGTATGTGGTGGCTTGTCATTAGAATGAGGAGTCGTCACTTGGTAAATATGGAAAGTGAAGTAGCTTAGCACCCAGATTTCCATGGCAACCCCCAGAACAAGTACAATATCACCAAAATTATTCTGTGGCTCTCTTTTTTTAGTTGCAGTGATTTGGTTGCATACTCTTGTTTTTCCGCTCCTGATTTGTACAAAATAATAGAAACTCTGTCCACTGTCAGTAGTATTTTGGTTTCAGGGACATTAATGTTCTCTGTTTGAAGTACTCAAAAAATTCAGTCACACAAATCTGCCTCTTCCTAAACTTGCAGAACGCATTTTTATCGCTTATTGCTGCCTTGTATTATGATTCATCTGGTAACTGGAGCTTTAGTATATGCAACACATGGACTAGGCACCAGGAAAGGATGGGCTGATGCTGACCTCGTGGGTCACTGCAGCGTAGCAGACACTTGATGTCTTCTGTGTGGGCAGACAGGGTGGTAACGTGCCCCTGCCCTTGAGCATTTGACACTCTTAAGGGCCAAGTCCACATCCAGTTTGTCACTCCTGATAATATGTTAATGAAAACATCCAACACATAACTTGTAAATGTTTATGGTTGTTTGAGGATTTATTTTATCAGTTCCTTGTTTCTGGGCTTTATTTTCTGTGACTAATAGGAAGAGACATTCTTGTTAACAAACGTGCTTGTGGGAGGCAAGCATTCTCACTGACTTCAGCCAATTTAAGAATACTGTTAAGCTGTGGACATACTTTTTGGTCATTTAAATGGTTCTCCATGATTTGGTTGATTTGACTCATAACTGGTTGTTGTTTTTCTTTTTTGGTCCACTGGTCCATAATTTTCTTTTTCTTCAACAATGTAATTGCCATCACTCCTTATACTTTCTGATGAGAATATCAGAGCCATTTTACATCACTATTGGCTCAAAGAAGTCCAACTTTGGTATTTGAATAATTTGGTTAATTTTATTTTTTTTTAAAAGTTGTTTATGCCATTTGTTCTTATTAGGTTGTCCTGTCTAGAGCAAGTGCTCATTTGCCTCCCTGACAAAAATCTTTCTGTTTTGAGTGACATTACTGAATCATTTTCCTTTCTTTTTTAATTCATACAAAATGCTTTAGAATTTGTTCTGATATAGTTTGCCATAACCATTAAAACATTTGACTTGCTGTTGATCTTACTCGCCACCTCTTCTCTGGAATAAACCTCAACTTCCTACTAGGGATTGTCAGCATTTGAGTTCAGAAGTCTGTCCACCTAGAAGTTCTCAGCCTCATTATCTGAGATGCCCTATAAGATTCAACACTGTTAGTCTTGTAATCCAAGTGCCAGATTTCTAGGTTTCCTAGTCTTGTGGCCCATCGAGGTAAACCAGTGGGAAAAAAAAAAAAATCCACCTTTTAGAATGCACATCTGACTACCTTGCCTATAAAACCGAAATCTTGGAATTTTTATTTTTTGTGTTTTCTTCTAACTTCACTCCTTGATCTACTGCTTTTGCTATTTCTTTGCTTTGTTACAGATTATATCATATGTGAAAGGTCCTAGATATCTATTAAAGTCAGAATGGAATCTCAAAAAGAATTTATTGTTAAATAAAATGATTCTCATATCTTTCAGTAAATGGAATACTGGAAACTTCAAGCTCAATTTTGGGGTGACTACCTATTTTAGTCTATTGATTTCTTTAGTCCACGGTAATTGAGTCCTCATTTCCACACTTTTCTCATTCTCTTATGGATTTATTTCAGATAAACATTGTGTATGCATGCCGCAACCTTCTTCGTTAACTGAATTAATAATAGTTATTGTAGGAGAGAGAGTCCCTGGAAAGACTTGGTCAATAATACTCTAACAGTGACTAGTTCTTAAAAACTTTTAACTAAATCCAGTTTTTAGAATGATAGAGGCAGAAAAAAAAAATCCTGGTAATATTTTAGGAAAAAAATGTATATTCTCTTAGCAAGATACTATTTTTAATTTGTAGAACCATATCCATCTCATTGACAAGTATCATCACAAGAGAAATATGAACTATAGTATTCTCTTTTATTTCCTATGAATTCAGAGATTTATGTCATGCAAACTTGACCTCAAACTAGAGTTAATACAAGTATTTATCTCTTCATGTAAAGTAGAAAATGTCTCCAGTTAAACTCAGGGATGTGTTGTCTTCAAGCCTGATGGTCTTTGGGCTTTTCCTAGTCTTTCAGGAATCTTGATGTATTTTGTGCAAAGGAAAATTTTAGTTATACTGATTCATACTGATAAGTGGCATATGGATTCCCTAAATGATCTCCTAATTATGTAATTTTAGAGTTATTTTTTCTTCCCGGTAGCAGGTTCTCATTTGCAGGCCTTGTTAGTCCTCCTACATCTTGGCTCAGTATAACTCTTTTGGTTTCTCTTTCTTTGTTGTTGTTTCTGTTTGGAACGTAAGCTCTTAAAATATGGGTTGTCCTAAATCTTAGGACTCAAGTTAATAATCTACTTTTTCTCAAAAGCTGCTTAAAGTTTAGGAATCTCCTGATTGCTTCATGGAGTTTTTAACTCTTCTATGGGACTTTAAACAAGGCATTGAGAATTTGCAAAGATATTAAGGATTATTGATGTGTGTGTAAGTAATGTGGAGATTAATATCGTTTCATAAGCATGATGTGGTTTTTTTTTTTCCTATGTGACTAATGCAGGGGAAAGCTATTTTTTTATTATGACATCATCCTCTTTTTTGCCTAAAGAGACCTGAGTTCAAAACTAAGCTACCATGTTGGTGAGCCCAGTCTGTCTTGTTAAGGATATAGTATGCCTCTAGCACATCTTAAAGAGGTCTAGTGACAATTAACCCAGCTGTGATATTTCTTCATAAGTGAACTGATTTCTGAAAGCTTCAGTTCAATATGGTGACTTCAGTATGGTGTATCTGCATAAATGTGGGGCAGGAATGATTTTCCAAGTCTCTAATATTTTTCTACAGCAGTCATGTCTGTACCATTCAGCTAAATCATCTCAAAAATGTTTTCTTCAGCACATGGTTCCAAGTTTTTAAATATGGGAAGAAACAGAAAGTTCTTTGAGCGATGTTTGAAGTTTACAAAACACATTCTTGTTTATGATCCCACTTGATCCTCATGATGGTTTCTTGATCTGTGCAAGGCATTTCTCACTCTCCCCTATTGATTTATAGATGCCTTAGCCAAGAATCAGAGAGGGATTGAAAATTGCCTAAGGCCACACAACCAGTCAGAGGTGGAGTCTTAAAGAGAACTAAGTTATTTTTCCTCTCCTGGCTTAGCAAATTCTCCAAGTATCAGTATAACTGCTAAGACCATGGACTCAGTTTTTTGTTTGTTGTTTTCTTTTAAATTTTATATGCAGACTACACCATATCCCTTACAGATCTATCAAAGAACTAATTTAAAGCTAAAAATCAAATACATGGGGCTAGAGACAACCCTAATTATAAGGAAATTGATGGCCAAATAGTAGATATCTTATGGTGAGGTACTATAGAATGCTTGTGGAACCAGAGGTGGGACATGACCTGAGCAATTAGGACAATATTGGGAGCAGGACTATAGAATCAAAGGTGAATGTCACAGAAAATAAGATATGGTTGAATGCAAGGGGTCTGTGTGAAGGATGCTCTGTGTTCTGACCCCTGTGTCTGTCAAAAGGAGACATGGTTTATGGTGCTGTGGTCGGGCCATCTTAGGAAGAAGACTGGCTCATAGTAAAGCGGAGGTGTGTCCTGTGAGGCTGAGGCCGGGGTTTGCTTTAAACTTTCGAATCACCTATTCTGCTTGACCTTCCTTTCCCACTTTTAATTCTTATCCCTTCCTGTGTCCTTTTCTTAGCTTCATTGACACATAGCTCTCAGTCCAGTCCCGTTATTTTTAAATGTTTGCATGTTTAGCAACAGACTATACCTAGAGAATAATATTAATATGGGGTTATGGCTTCTTTTTCCCCCCAGAGGAACAAAGAAACAGCATCATCAACTCCAGTTCAGAATCTGTTGTCTCATCAAATACAAACAGCATCCTTAATTCCAACAACAGCTTACAGCCCAACGTGAACTCCAGCGACCCCGACCTGGACGTGCTCAAGCCCACTCGGCCCAACTCACTGTAAGTACCATGTGCGACTGCCTGCCCCAGAGGCCCTTGACTAACTTTTCCACCCAGAATTTGCTCTCTGGCCCCAAGCTGATTTTGAGCATCACCTGCAAACATGATTTAAACTTTCTCCCTAAACTTGGAGCTTGGCTAGTTTGGCTGTGGATTTTTTAAGCATCATCATCTCAAAAAGGTATCATTGTTTTTAGCATACTGCTTCTTGGCCTTAGTGATCTTTGATTAACTGTCCTGCTGAGATGACTTTGGAAATGGCTTTTGCCTGTGCTGGCTGCAGGGCATGAAAAGCAATTTCTTTTAGTTTTACAATCATCCAGGCACACTAGTGCTCCAAGAGATCCATAGCCAAGTCTGTTTCATTCATTCATGTTGTTTCAGTTTCCCTTTGCCCTGACTATGTTGAGAATGTTCAGTGCTGACTCTGTGTCCACTTCCAGAAAGAAATGCCCCCAGGAGCCATTTGAGTCTGGAGATCCTAAAGCCTTAGCAAGACTGTGGTCTCTTACCACAGACTATAAAAGAGAAAAATCTTTGTTTCTTTATTTCGGGGTATTGAGCTCCCATAACTGAGAGAGACAATTTAGAGACATTGTCTAACTCTCTGCAGAAACTAGATTTACTCTGCTAGGGCCAGAAAATTCTCCTTTGTGGTTTCATTCCACATTGCTTAGCATGTTTCTTCAGACCACCTCATAAATCTTGTCGACTGGAGACTTTGCAGAAAGAATGTGAGGCCATGACCAGAACAGCTGGACTCTCAGGCTACAGTTGTATAAAAGTCAGGAAAAGCAGAATTGATTTTGTCTTTCTCTAGTGAAAATAGTCTGAGGTATAACCACAGATTGCCTTCAGGACAGCTGTTTGACTTGGAGAGACACCCGGGAGGTCAGAACCTTCTCCTGCCCCTCTTCATGCTGTGGTTTCATGCAGGCACCCTGCCTTTCTATCTCTTTAAGAGATCTATAGATCTGCAGGTTGGGCCTTAAAAGGGACTGAGGGAGAGTAATCTTTGAGTGAAAAAATGATTGAAATGGGTTTGAGACACAGTTACAGGAGAAGATAAAATCTTAGATCGAAAAAAACAGGCTGCTTTTTAGTTGTTGTCACTTTATATCCTACCTCGATATTCAGGGAGTTTGGTTCCTTACCTCTTATATGGCAGGTAATGTGTTTGCTCACTAAGAAGTAGGCCAGTGCCTCAAGAGTTCAAAATAATTGAAGCTGTTCAGCTGATTGGCTGTAATTCTCTTCTGGTTCTCCATGGTTTGGCTTGTCTGTGGAGCCTCCCTCCACAGACTGAGAAAGCGCAGTCACTTCTAGACCTGTTTTCCTAGACTTCAATGAGATTCTAGCTTTTTCCCAATTTGCTTAAATCTCTGTACCTGGCTCTTGCTGAAGTTATTTACTGCTCATTATGAGCAAGGTTCAACTTCTAGCCCAGGTTGCCTAATGTCCCTGATTTAAGCCGACAGTACCAACTAGTAGCCTTTAGTCTTTGTTTTCAATAACTGGTGGCTGGGAGTTCCCTGAGTCACCACTGAGTACAGTGTGTTCAAAGAGGCTGTTTGGGGATTAGAGTATGAAAGCGGGGTATGTCTTCTAAACAGGTCCTGGAGGCCCTAGGGGACTTAGGATTTTTTTTTTCCACGTGTCTAGATATGATCTGTTTTCTATAAAACACTGAAATTCACTCTACTTACTTCGACTCATTCATGAATCTCTTTCCTACCTAATGCTTATTTGGGGCTCTTTCCTGGGGAACACAGGGTGATGCCAGGAATAGTGCTACTTGTTGGCTTTTGGAGAATGGAGGTAGGAGTGTGGGTGTGCTTCCAATAAGACTGCTGCCCTTCCAAGCTGAGTGAGTCTCTGAATAATGTGTGTGAGTCCAGAGCTCAAGGAACGCTGTTGTCGAGTTGGAAGCATGCTGATATGAGTGCTGACAACAGAGCGAGCTCTGAGTGAGAGCCCCGGGTAGCTATGCAATAGGTAAAGTGGCCATTTCCCAGGGCAGTCAGATGTGGTTCACCAGTTCACACCTCCCTGATTCTTTTCTGCCTGCGACTTGCCTGGATGAACAGAACCAGGTTGTCCTGGCAAGTAGAAGCTACAGTACTTTAACTTGAGTAAATTAATTCTGAGAAATCTGTCAGCACACTATGCCTTGATAAGTCTCAACCAAGACCATTGGGTCTCAGCCTCAGCTCTGGACCCTTTCATTCTCTCTATCATTGTTCACTTTGAAGTGTACAGAGATCCTTGAATGGGAAAATTTATTGACGCAGATATAACAAAACAAAGTTAGGAGGTGGGGAATTACCATTAGCTTAGCTATTAGTTAGGCATCAGGTGGGGAACCAATCACCAGGAAACAGTCTGTTCTTTTTTTTTTTTTTTTTTCATTATTTTCATAAGACTGGAATGATCGTTATGACCATTTAACAATCATAATGAAAGAAACATGTTTGTGACTCAGCTGCCTTTGGTACTTCAGATTATACATAGTGCTGTCTCATTGGTAAATCTTTCCTAGTTCTTCAAGGAGATCAGGGACCTTTTGTTTATATGGGCATTATGCTAAATTAGGTATAGAATTAGAGATTGCAACATTCTAGTCATGCAGGGCAAAGGTTGCTGGGTTGAAATCTTCGATAGTTCTTCAGCTAGACCTAATGTAGCCCTCTCTCCTGAGAATCAAAGGACATTTGGTAAACTGGGATCTAAGTTCAGCTAATCTAAATTTGTCAGCAAATTTTGATGACCTATTTTGAGCCCAGACTGATACTAAGCTATTTGGGATAAACCAGATAAAGAGGATTCCTGCTCTCCCCAAGAGTTTACGTTCTGGCTAAGGAGTAAAGACAGTGGTATACACAGTGCTAAATGGGACTTAAAGCACATAAATGAATTTAGAGTTCAACAACTATTAACTAAACACCTATTCAGTGCTCACACCAGACAGGGTATTGGGAAAGGTGGGGAAGCTGAAATGTGAGGGAAGCTGTAGGTATAATTATATGGATTGATGAAGAGCATTCCAGCTAAGGTGAATGAGAGAGGCAGAAATGATCCGAGAAGAAAAATATAATCTACAGATGAGTAGTCGCAGACATAGTTCCTCCTCCTCCACTGCCACAAAAAAGAAATAGCGAGCCAGCCTTGAAAATCAGAACACTTCACACTTAAGATCAAGATTTCATGCTGAAACAACTAGACCTCCACATACAAAAAAAAATCTTAATTTAGTGTAAAAACATGTTCTCAACAAAGAACATCTGAAATTTATATAATATAATGCAGCATTACTTCAATAAAATAAGTACAATGAATCTATTCATGGACCTTACACCTTTCATAAAAATGTATTTTATGATGCATTTCATCAAAATGCATCATTGACCTAAATGTAAAAGAAAAACTGTAAAATTTCTAAAAACAGCACAAGAGAAAATCTAGGTGTCCTTGGACTTGGTAATGACTATTTAGATACAACACCAAAAGAATAATTCATGATGGGGAAAAAATGCTAAATTGGATTCTTTTTTTTTTTTAGGATTAAAATTTTTGCTTTGTGAATAACCCTATTAAGAGAATGAAAAGTCAAATCTCAGAAGAAAAGAAAATATTTATAAAACACATACCTGATAAAACACCAGGATCCAAAATATACAAAGAACTTTTACCATTCAGCAGTGAGTAGACAGAGAACCTAATGAAAAACTGGGCAAATATCTAGACAGACTTCTCACCACAAAGGCATTACAGATGGCAAATAAGCCTATGAAATAATACACTTTATGTCATTAGGGAATTACAAATTAAAATAATGTGCTGTCACTACTAATAGTAGTAGTGATAGCTAAAATTCAAAACACTGACAATGTTGGTGGGGATGTGAAGGAACAGGAACTCATTTCACTGCTGTTGGCAATGGTCACATTGAAAGACAATTTACCATCTTTTTTTTTTTTTAAAGATTTATTTATTTTTTATTTATTTATACAATAGCTGGGGTACAGGCCAGAGCCATGGGAGGGAGAGAGGATTCACCAGAGACAGAGTGGGGAGCAGAACAGGCAGACAGACTGAAAGCACTGCTGAGGGGGGCAGTGGGCGAGAAAGGAGAGGTCTGCCATGCCATGTGGGAATCTCCCCAGCCGGCCAGGAATCAAACCCACGCTGCAGAGGCTGCAGACAGCTTCACAGCACTGTGCTCAACCCGCTGCACCACCGCGGAGGCCCCCAATTTACCATCTTTTTACCAAAAAACTTATCATAGGACAATGCAATAATCATACTTTTAAATGTTTACCCAAATGACTTGAAAATTTATGTCCACACAAAACCCTACATATTTCTAAGTGAAAGAAGCCAGTCTGAAACTGCTATAATATGGTAGGGAAACAACTAACTGACATTCTGGAAAAGGCAAAAATATGAAGTCCATAAAAAGGCTTAGTGGTTTCCAGGAATTCAGGGGGAAGGGATGAATAAATGGAGCACAAGACATTTTAGGGCAGTGAAAAAAACTACTCTGTGTGATATCATCATGATTGATACAAGACATTACGCATTTGTCAAAACCCATGAAGCCAACAGAACACAAAGAATAAATTCTAATGTAAACTATGAACTTTAGTTAATAACATACTAATGTTGGTTCATCAGCTATAACAAATGAACCACACTAATGAAAGATGTTAATAGTAGAGGAAATTATGAGTAGGAAGAGGTATGTGGGAACTCTAAATGGTTTTGTACAACTATTCTATAAACCTAAAATTGCTCTTAAAAATTAAGTCTAATGTTATTAAATCTAGACTTCCAACTTCTTTTAAAAAATTAGATTTGGCCACGCTAAATCCATGTTACTTGGTAACAGATGTTGTGACCCTTTCGTCTCACAACTGACCTGCTTCACTCTTTTATATCCCTGTTTCAATGCTTGTGAAAGATGGTCAAAGGATCTTTGCTGTTCCTACCTGTAAGAGATG